TGATGATGACGAATATGATGATGATGATGATGATGATGATGATGATGATGATGGTGATGATGATGATGGTGGTGATGATGATGATGGTGGTGGTGATGATGATGATGATGATGGTGATGATGATGATGATGATGATAAAGATGATGATGATGATGATGATGATGATAAAGATGATGATGATGATGATGATGACGAATATGATGATGATGATGATGATGATGATGATGATGATGATGATGATGGTGATGATGATTATGATGATGATGATGATGATGGTGGTGGTGATGATGATGATGATGATGATGGTGATGATGATGATGATGATGATAAAGATGATGATGATGATGATGATGATGATGATGATGATGATGATGATGATGATGATGATGATGATGATGATATTCCAGTGCGCTCGGCTGCACGAGTCCGTGACAGATAAGGTTAAGCTCGGTCGGTACTCGCCTACACCGCCCAGTAGCCTCGCTTGGGAAGCGCGTTCGCGCTTGAGCCACCAGCGGCCCGTGAGACCCACGCAGTGCTTCCTGGAGCACCGGGAGGTTCCTTGCACGATCGGCGCTCGTTGACGGCGCGCGTGGGCAGCCCCACTGTGGGCCGGAGGCCCGTGGCGGGCTCCCGGGAGGCTGCTCGGACGCCCCGGGCACCTCCCGGGAAGCCTACGGCCGGACCCGGGGCAGGAGGGCATCCCCTCAAGAACATGGCAGCTTCGTCCCGAACGATAACCTCGGCAGTGAAACAGGAAATCGGCGTTCGAAGAAGAGTGCCTCCTAAAATCATCGGGGTGGTCACTGTATCCCTCTCTCCCTGCGGCCAGACCTGGGACAGAAGAACATCCTTCAGAACATGAGACCCTCCACCGGCCAAACTGAAGAGCGTTCGAGGGTGCCCTCCCCCAGGATGCACAAGAGCATCCGACCAACACGAAAAACATCGCGGTACCCTCCCCGAACCGACCTCGATCTGATGCCTCGGTCCGACTGTACGGGGGGGAGGCCTGGACGCCAGGCGTTGGCACAGCCAGAGGGCAGTCCAACTGGATCTGGGCTCCTGGCAACCTCCCCGGGAGGGAAGCGCGCGCTTCACGGGCGCTGGGAAGCCAAGCGGGGCATCCAGCTCCCCCTCCCCCCCCCCCAACCCTGCCAAGAGCCAAGAGCGGGGCCATCCCGCGACCCCCGACCCCTCTCCCATCCCCCCACGCCTCACACACCTTCCAGCCCTCCAAGAATCCCTCCCCTGCAAGGGGGGGGGGGGGGGGGGGGGGGGGGGGGGGGGCGGCGTGACGGGAAGCGCAGATAGAGTCTCGGGTCCTCCGCCGCGTAGTGCGTGATGGACTCCATGTCGTGCTTGGGCGGAGGGGCGTACGAGTCCGTGCTGCAGTGCGAGCAGCGGAGCGGGCAGCTCTTGAGGTTCTCCATGGCCTCCTCCGTCGGAGACGACGAGTGCTTTGGCCACGAGTTGCCAGGCCATTCGCACCTCCCGCCCATGGGCTGGCACGCCGCGATCATGCTGCCGTACTTCACCGCCAGCCCCCACGCGGCCACCGCGCCCTGCGACGCGCCGCTGACGTAAAGGCGGGAGGGGTCTACCTTGTCTGGGCCAAGCCGCCGGATGATCTCGGTGAACAGGCACCAAACCGCATCCTCGGACCACTCCTTCTTGTAGCCCTGGCCGAGGTAATATATGAGCCCGGTGCGAATGTCAGGCTTGGGAATAACCATATAGTAATTCTCCCGGAGAGCCACGTTCTCCCACAGAACAGTCAGCTCTCCACTAAGGAAGGTCTCCCGACTGTTGAACTTGCCCGCGCCTAGCAAGTACAGAATGATGGGCGCGGGGCCGTCTGGGCTGTTCGGAGGAACGACGAGCGCCTCGCCGTCCTGTGGGTACGCGCTGTCGCAGTCAACCTCGCTGGACAAAGATATCCTCATCCTGCTCCTTCTCCCGCACTCCTGTCACATTCACCCGCGTGCTTGGGCTAATCTACATACTTCGGCAGCTCCTATCGTATTTCATCCACAAAGTACCGAAATGCTGCCCTTGTTCCTCAAACAGCTGTGCTGACTGGCAAGCACAATACCAACCTCATTATTCTCATTCGGGGAGTGGTTTGCCCTCGCCCCTCAACCTACCCACTCACAATTTCTTTTTCATTGCGATCTACACGTTATCCTCCGAGCCGGCTCATGGTTAGCAGACAGCATCCAGCTGCTGAGGAGCGGAGACGAATGCACAGCTGGAAGACAGCACACCAGAGGATAGATTAAGCAGGCATGGCCGCGAGGGTTGTTTTTTGGTTGGATATTTTTCTTTAACCCCCTCCGGGGAGGGTAGCCGGTCAGTGGAGCGTCAAAGAGGCATCAAAGAGTCCAGGATGACCTCCAAGATGGTTCCAGATACCTCAAGATGGCTCGAGATGGCTTCCAACATGCTCCAAGAGGATCCAAGACCGCTCCAGGACGGGTCCATATGGCTGTGGAGCCTCCACAGGACATCCCCGAGAATCCAAAATCTTTCCAAGACCTCCTGAAACGAACTGTGTTTGGCCTTCTCGCCTTTTCGATTCCGATAGAAAGTGGAAGCCTCAAAATGGCTCCGGGATGGCCGAGAGGGCCCCAAGGGGGACTGGAGCGGCCCCCACGACGGCCGCAAGAGCACCCGAGAGCACCCAAAATGCGATGTGGAGGGCACCCGATGGGAGTGCGCTAGTCAAGCGACCCCCCTTCGCTCGAAGCGCACGGCTGTGTCGCTGAATCGAACATCTCGCGGCAGCATGGCCCCAAGATGGCCCCAGAGAGCCCAGAATCGAATCGATATGTCCGATCGGCGATCGACATGAATCGGATCGGCGGAAATCGACAGCCGAGTCGGGAGAAGTCGAATCAGAGGAAATCGACAGGATAGTATGTCTCCGTCAAGGAATCGGAGTCCAAATCGGAATCCGAAGTCGAATCGAATCGCAATCGGAAGCCGTCGAAATCGAATCGAATCAAATCTGAGACCCCAGGACGTCCATGGAATTCTGGTGTGGGACCGTCGCGCCATCCATCGCAAAACCATCGAAACCCAAGAAACCCAGGGCACCCTGGAGGCAAGCAGGGTGCTTCTTGACATGGGTTTCCACTGTAATGCATACGCCCCAATGTCCGACCATCTTCCCGCTCGGGCCGGACAGACCAGGACCGCCGCAGCTCGGGTCGAAGGTGGCCTGTCTCTCGCGACGGTGTCTGCAGTCTGCGGCCGCTCACGACGGCGGGCTCGGACGAGGACGAGGAGAGTTGGCGCTGGAGGGCGAGGCGCCAAAGAGTGGGGCGGGGAGGAGCTGGAGGAGGAGAGGGCGAGGGGGGAGGGGGGGAGGAGGAGGAGGAGGAGGAGGAGAATGACGAGGAGGAGGAGGAGGAGGAGGAGGAGGAGGACCAGTGTAATCCCAAGAGACATCAACGATGTTGGAATAAACCCTCCCTCCAAACTCCCTCTCCATACGCCCCTACAACGGTTCATCTCATTGAGAGCACTGCCTCGTTGGAAGACAACTGCTTGAAGACCCTGAAACATGTCAAAACATTGTTCTCGGGATTCCAACGCCACGGATGAACCTGACTGCTGCGTCTGGACGATCCTGAATCGCACCAGAACACCATTCCCAACGCTTGAACGCCGCGAATCAACATAATTTGTGCACCCTCACAAGTCTGAATCCTTCCAACACACAATTCATGGTACGCTGATCATGGCGAGAACCACATGTTGAAAAGGAACCGCCCTCGATCTGTGGAGCTCTTGCACATGTTTATAACGAATGCGCGCGGCACTAAGGCGAGAACCACATTTTGAAAAGGAACCACCCTCAATCCTTGAAACTCCTGCAATGCGTTAAAACGAATGTGCGCGGCGCTATGGCGAGAACCACATGTTGAAAACTTTTCGCCCTCAATCTGTGAACCTCTTGCAAGTTGTTTTAGACGAATGTGCGCGGCACTAAGGCGAGAGCCACATCTTGAAAACGGCCGAGTGGGCGCGGCGCTAAGGCGAGAGCCACATTCCGAAAACGACCCGCCCTCCATCCGTGAAACTGTTGTCAATGTTTAAGCTTCAGGGTCATCAATGGTGAGGAAGTATCATGCGAAACGCCCGGCCCGACCTAAAAACTGGCCTCGGGGTGCGACAGGGAGAAATTATTGATAAGGAGAAGGAATGGAGGGGGAGGACGACGACGACGACGAGGACAGCGGCCGTCGGCGAAGACGGGGGCGGACGGGGAGGACGAGGATCCGCAAAGACTGTCTGCGATGTTCGGGCGTAATTAGGTCGGGGATGTCCTCCGAATGAACAATCATCAAAAAGTATCACACCAAATACGCAAAAATAGTACAAGACTAGTCCCCACACTATGTTTTAATTAACTTGGGATATAAGTGTGTATATATATACACGCAGGGAACCGAACTCTGTACACCGACGCCTTTGTCTGGCCTCACACTGAATCTCGCACAGGAAAGCGGATCCTGGTGTATACGGGATCCTGGTGTATGCATTTTCCCCCGGAAATGGAAAAAAGTACACACCTCACCACCCCAACGTCGTCCCCGACCCTCAAAGAAGTTCTGGGGTTGAAAAACAGCCCGCCGCTGGTAATGTAGATGTTCTAAATCCGAATATATTCCTCCTGTGGAGGGGCACGCCCGACTTCATGCTCGGCCCGCCCAACGCCTTCGGGGATGTTATGACCCGGGTCAATCCAGAACCGGGTCAGTCAGGCCTTGCAGAATCATGCAAAATCCTGCGAGATCCTGCACCCACACCCGGGTCAATGCGACGGATCCTGCAGGATTCTGCGCCAAAAGCCCGGGTCAAAGCGACCCTGGCCCTGCAGGGTCCTGCAAGATCCGGCGCCCTGGCTGACCCCCGTCTGCATTGACCCCCGCCTCTCGAGCCCCGACGCGGGGCACCCTGGAGGCAAGCAGGGTGGTTCTTGGCATGGGTCTCAACTGCGTTCCTCCTGCAGACCGACTTACTGTTCGGCCCGCCCCTAACGCCTTCTCCCACTTGCCCTTCCGCTTCAAGTACAGGGGTATCGGGACCTCGCACTCGGGGAACTTGGACCCGTGCCTCACCTGCGGAGGCTGAGGCCGGCGCCCCGCTTCTCTCGAGCCTCTCCTCCCCGCCGGCAGGGAGGAGGAGGCGCAGCGGGAGGGCGGCGGCTGGGCCGGGGCGAGGGGGAGAAGGCACTGGAAGAAGGGGAGGAAAGGGAGGACGGGGGCAGCGAGGAGGAGTGGAGAGGGAGAGGGAGGAGGGAGAGGAGGAGAAGGGCCTTTAGACATCTCTGACCAAGCACAGGAGGCCGGGAGGAGGGAGAGAGGGGGGGGGAGAGGGGGAGAGGAGGAGAAGAAGGCGGAAGAGGAAAAAGGAAGACAAGGAGGTAAGGACGAAGGGCACGAAGGATCACCGCTTCGTCGAGCAGCAGCACGTGGTTGTCTGGGAGGCCCAGGCTGGCCTCGAAACGGTTCAGGAGGCCCATCACCTCGATGTCGTTCCTCAGGAGCCCAAGCGCACATCCGCGCAATGTGCGATACATCACTGGAGTTAGGTCGGGCATGTCCTGCTACAGGCAGAGTTAAAAGCATACATGAGAAATAGTCAAGACATACATTTATTCTGACCCAAAAATGGATCTATATATATATATATACATATAAGTGAGAATAGATAGTTCTGCTTTAAATGAAGAAGTCGGTGGGCTATGTTTTACAGCTATTTTTACATTCCTCCTGAAGATGGACAGGCCCGACATATCACCTGAAGAATGACACGATTCTCGTGACCGCTGGAAAACAGCACGGGTCCCTCAACCATTCTTCCAACGCCCGGTGAGGGACGTCGGGCCTCCCAAAACTCGGGCGTCCAAGAGAGGGGGGAGGGAAGGGCGCAAACCATGGCCGGCGCCGCGCGCGCGGCCCAGGGGTGGGGGGGCCGAGGGCGCATCGAAGCAAGAAGAGGCGCCATGAGATCTGGGGCGATCTCATGGGCCTCGCCGCGGCCGCCCCTGAAAAAACACGGCGGGCCATCGTGGCCCTCCCTTGCCGGGGGGGCCCCGAAATCCGTGGCCCATCGTGGCAGCTCAGCGTTGCCCCATCCCCCCCTCCTCGACGTGGCCGTGTGGCCCCCCCCTCGTGCCCCCCCCCCTTCGTGCAGTACGAGCTCGACCGGTGTCGTAAGGGTGCGCGCTGAGGATGCAAACGCCTTGGACGCCCGCTTCGAAGCTTTTTCGAGCGGGGCGCGGCCAACAAAAGTGGCCAAGGATGGGCCGAGGGTACGTACCCTTGGGAAGGTCGCCCATCCTTCCTATGCGAATTGAGCTCGACAACAAGAAACATTCCACGAGAAACCCCCAACCCAGGAACCCCAGGACGTCCACTGATTTGTGGTCTGGGAACGTCACGCTTGCCATAGCAGAACCATCGAAACCCATGAAGACCAGGGTACCCTGGAGGCAAGCAGGGTGTGTCTTGGCATGGGTTTCCACTGCAGGGCCCTTCTGACGCAAAAGTGTCATGAATGTGCTTTGATTAGTGCGCGTTTTCTAATCCGGCGTTTCGACATTGAGCGAAGAGGGGGGCGAGGAGGGGGGGTCTGGCTCTGGACCTGTGCTTAGCGCGACTGTTTGCAACAGTGCGTCCATTATGGGGGAGACTGCACCTGCTCGAAACAGGTGCCAAGATCTACTCCATGGGGGGGGAGATGCGAGGGCCCACGCCGGTCGGCAAAACAGGGAATGAGAAAACGATCACTTTCGACTGTAGGGCCCTTCTGACGCAATGATGCATTGAATGTGCTTTGCTTGACCCGGCGTAAACTCACAGTTGAGCATCCCAGGCATCACCACGGGCTGCCCTGGCCCAAACCCCGCGCCTCCGCCTGGCCCCTCAACCCCACACCTCCCTCCCTCCCTCCCTCCCTCCTCCTTCCTCCTCCTCCTGCTCCTGCTCCTCCTCCTCCTCCTCCTCCTCCTCCTCCTCCTCCGCCTCCTCCTCCGCCTCCTCCGCCTCCTCCTCCTCCTCCTCTTCTTCCTCCTCCTCCTCCTCCTCCGCCTCCTCCTCCTCCTCCTCTTCCTCGTCCTTCTCCTCCTCTTTACGCCGCAGAGATAAGAACAGCCTCATTTCCCTTCTGGAACAAGGTCGTTGCTGACTAAACCGCGAGAACAGGGGTGGCGCATCGAAGGCGTTCTGCCTCGAGGCTGGCGGTTCCTGAGGTGCCGTCGACTCCGTTGACAAGCATGCACTCATCTGGTTACGCACTTGGCTTCGAGGGAGGATGAGGAGGGACGGGGAAGGTGCGAGGGACGGGCGAGAGCCAGAGAGGACAGGGGAAAAAGTAGCAGCAGGATAAGGATGATAGAATGGGGAAAGGATGACGAGGAGCAGCAGCTGGAGGAGGACGAGGAGCAGGGAGAGGGGCAAGGGGAAGTAGAAAAACGAGAAGGAAGCTGAGGACGAGGTGAATCCCCTAGATGCGTTTCGGACTGCTCCGCCTCCTCCTCCTCCTCCTCCTCCTCCTCCTCACCCTCCTCCCAATCCTCCTCATCTCTCCTCCACCCTCACGTGTGGCGTGAAGTGGAGGCAGGATCCCCCGGTGGCGGGGCCGGGGCGCTTTTCGCGACGCCAGCTCTCCACACGGACTGCTCGGACCACAGGGCCTCCTGGACTGCGGCGAACCTCGGAGCCCATCTTTTCACCAGCTGCTCCGGTCCCTTGCGTACCCCCTCCTCCCTCTGTCGTCTCCAACGGCGCTGTGGCTCTCGGCTTTCCCTCCAGCCGAGTCGATCCGATCCGAGCCCCCTTTCCTTGCTCCCCTTCCGCCGCTTTGCTCTCCATTCCTTGCACCCCTCCCCAATCCTCTGGCGGCACGCAGAGGGGGGGGATGGGAGGGGAAGGCTTCTTAGAAGAAGGCTGCTTCTTAGAAGGCGCGGGCGGCGTCCTTCTAAGAAGCAGCCTCCTTCTAAGAAGGCTTCCCCCCTCCCCCTACCCCCTCTGCGCGTGGCCCCATCCTCCCGCTTCTCCTCTTCCATCCCTCTTCCTATGAACAGCTCCTCTCTGTCGCGCCACCAGGTGTGTGCTCGTAGGCAAGGACGGGCCTTTCGCTTTTGAGACTTCCAGACAGTTTACCTTCCCGGATCTATTTTTACGTCGGGCGTGTCCCTTACAGGCGGATTTTGGACGAATCCTAAAAAATAGTCAACAGCAAAACTCAAACAATGTCAAACAAATATTCGAAACATCGTCCCCAGACAATGTGCTACTATTTCCGAATATTCCTCCTGTAGAGGGACAGGCCCGGCTTAAATCTACTTCTAACAGGTATAGGGTCGGTCGTCTTCAAATGTGGCTCTCGCCACAGCGCCGCGCACATCCGTCTTGAACAAAGGAATCAGTTATACGGATGCAGGGCGGGTAGTTTTTCACATGTGACTCTCACCTTGGCTTCGCACACACTCGTAAGTTCCAACAATCACACGGACGGAGGCTGGTATGCTTTGAACATGGGGCTCTCGGTTGAGACTTCCTCAACACAAATTAGAATAAGCGCAACCATGCGCAACAGTTGGACGGAGCAGTGCATGGCGGTTCCTTTTCTCAAAATGGGACTCTCGCATGACACATCGTTCGATGTCACGGCCAGGAACACTTGCATCAATTACACGGATGCGGTGCGGTATCTCTTCAAACTGGGGGGGGAGGAAAGGGGGGGGCTCTCGGGTCAGAATACCCTCCCTCCAGGGTCCCTGCGGGTCCCAGGGGGCGGGGGTGGGTCGCCTGCAGGGGTCCCTGGAGAGGTGCCGACTTCAGAGTCGGCGGCACTGGCCAGAAGGACTTCGCAATTACACTGATGCAGGGCGGTCTTTTCGAAGTGGGGCTAACGCTAGGCACTTCCTTGAGATGTAAGCAATACCTTGCCACTTTCCTCGCGACTTTCCTCCTCCTCCTCCTCCTCCTCCTCCTCCTCCTCCTCCTCCTCTCCTCCTCCTCCTCCTCCTCCTCCTCCGCCCCCTCCTCCTCCTCTTCCTCCGCCTCCTCCCCCTCCTCCTCCTCCTCCTCCTCCTCCTCCACCTCCTCCTCCTCCTCCTCCTCCACCTCCTCCACCTCCTCCTCCTCCTCCTCCTCCTCCTCCTCCTCCTCCTGGCTCTCCTCCTCATCGTCTGCCCCGCTGCCCCCAACGCAGCCCCGAGAGGATCTTACTGGGCCCGGTGGCCAGGGGGGGCCCGGGAGAACCACGCCGGCGCCGACCCAGGCTCGGCGCTGGAGGGGAAGCAGGCCAGGTGCAGCAGGCCCAGGCGGCCCGCAATGTCCTCCTCGGACACCCACTCCTCCAGGGCTCGACCAAAACAGTGGTTTCGTGTTCGTGTTCCCTCGCTGTCTTCGCTCCACCTCCGTTGCGAGACGAAGTCAAAACGAAAACACGGTCCACGAAATCGCCAAAACACCATTTGGGTCAAGCCCTGCGCTCCTCCGGATGGCCCACGGAAGGATCGGGGCCGCCCCCGTGGGGCCCCAGTAAACAGGGTCGGGGGGTCACAGCGCCTCGGCGATGCGGCGCGGTGTGGAGTTCGAGCTGATCCATCCCGACGTCGCCGATGTACCGCCAGTGCGTCGGCGATTCGGTTAGATCCCTAGCCTCTTGCGCTATGGCCCCACTTGGGCGGTGAAGGCGGATAATTAGCTGAGGTCCACTGGGATAGTTTGCGGATCAGCCCAGGGTGGCGGACTCAGTTCGGGGCACCCTGGAGACTCCCGAGGGCGAGGGCCTCGGGGAAACTCGGACTCTGGGTGGCATGATGCTTTTACGCACTGTAAGCCAAAACCTTTGGTGGGCGAAAGGACGGGCAAGGTGGGGGCACGTGCAAGTCATCAGGGACGACCAAAAACGCGCTCCAAGAATCACAACATCGGGAAGGCGCAGAGCCCTCCGCCTCGTAATCACAGTCACACTCCAGGACCTCCGTCTCCTCCTCCTCCTCCTCCTCCTCCTCCTCCTCCTCCGCCTCCTCCTCCTCCCATTCCACCTTATCCTCCCCAAACTGCTGCTCCTCCCTCCCTCCCTCCCTCCCTCCCTCCCTCCCTCCCTCCCTCCATCTCATCCTCCTCCATCCATCCATCCGTCCCTCATCCTCCTCCTCTTCCTCCCCCTCCTCTCCTCCCTCCTCCTCCTCCTCGTCCTCCTCCTCCTCCTCCTGCTCTCCTCCTCCTCCTCCTCCTCCTCCTCCTCCCTGATTACTACTACTACTACTACTACTACTACTACTACTACACTAACTCTACTACTACTACTACTACTACTACTACTACTACTACTACTACTACTACTACTACTACTACTACTACTACTACTACTACTACTACTACTACTACTACTACTACTAAACTACTACTACTACTACTACTACTACTACTACTACTACTACTACTACTACTACTACTACTACTACTACTACTACTACTACGACTACTACTACTACTAACTACTAACTACTACTAACTACTACTACTACTAACTACTACTACTACTACTACTACTACTACTACTACTACTACTACTACTACTTCTACTTCTACTACTACTACTACTACTACTACTACTACTACTACTACTACTACTACTACTACTACTAC